ATTCTCTTGCCACTAAGATTTTTTAATAATTCATTCTCGTGCTGGACAGCATTCATTGCGAATTTACCACCAGGATCAGCATTGGTCTGGTTGTACCAAAGATGCCGAAGAATGGGGTTGGAAGAAAACAAAAACAGGCATTACTCCAGTCACAACGTTGAAAGATCCAGCTCCAAAATCCCTGTTGGCATTTTTATCCTGTAAATGCAAAACAAATAACTATGGAAAGCCTGCGGATGCGGAAAAGCAGGATTAAAATGTTCAATGATATGTGCATACTGCAATGGGAAATCCTGTGACAACGTGACTGAAGTGTCACTCGACGAATGCGATGAAGAGGAGTTGGACTTGCCTGTAGATATCCCTCTGGCGGCTGAAGATGAAGAGTTGGACGTATTGAGAGACCACCCTAATGAGCCCAGCACAGCAGACACGATCGACTTTGACATCAATAAGCCAGATCCGTCGGGCTTGTGCAGATAAGTTAAAGTTTTTAATTTATCTAGTGGAGTAGGCCTCCGGGGAGACCACGTTAAAATAAACGCGTCATATACTTTATCTCTTGGGTGGTGTGAAAACAAGGACACATTTTCAATAATTAAAATCATAATTATTTATAAATTAATGACCAAATTCATTATACGCCACTGTTTTATGACAAAATTGAAGAAACTAAACTAAAACTAGTTTTAGTGAACCCTAATCGACGTTTGATTTCGGAAAATCGACTATACATAATATATCATATTTTACGCAAAATTGTAAAATTTCTAGGGATTTTGTGCCTAAACGGTTGACTTTAGCGAAAATTTTCATAAAACGTTTTTTATAGGAAATTTCATTCTCTTTTATTTTGCTCTCTTAAGATTTTCGCGAAAACCGCATAGTTTTCGAGATATTCACAAAATACCGATTTTGGCGCCGGCGGCAAGTCCAGAAAGGTGCATTTTATAGATTTTAGTTTAGGGACCCCAAAACCTATAACCTGCAAAGTTGCAAAACCGGACTTTTTCAATCAAGAAATTCCCAATGACTGAACTAATATCCAAGTAACAACTTTGAGACTCATATTTCAGCTTTTTCAGTACTGGATAACTTAAAAAAGCCCTTTCTTGAGTATAAGGCACTCAAGTTATCTGTTTATTACAGTCCTATATCTTCATAAACATTTTTCAAAAAATTTTTAATATTTTAATGGCGCTCCTTAAAGTTTCATTCTGGTTGATAACCTAATAAACTAAATCCATCGATTTGTGGTCTTAAATTGATAAGATTAAAAGATTTGAGTACTGTCGTGGTCTTACGTCATTACCCTGGGTAAATAGGATTAAGTAAAAGATTTACTTTTATGAACTATATAAAATTAATATCTTAATATCAAGTTGTAAAATACGTTAGGACTGGTAACTATACGCAATTTTTAGGGTATTGTGTTGGATTAATTATAGATTATTATTTACAATACAATGGCATTTTATTTTTATTTTAATGTGCAATTTAAAGTCATTCATAGATTCTTTCTAATAATTATTGTCTCTAAAGCTTCATTCAGAACCTCCCAATTAGAGGAATAAATTAGTGGTTTCAATTACACTTTATACTTTTTAGTTTACGATCATTCACAATGTCTAAAAAACACAATTAAAATTAATAGAATTTCCTAGCAACAGTTTGTTGTAGTCAGTTGTATCCATAGAGAAAGCCAAATATTTAGCTTATAAAACAAAAAACTTTTGATTTCTAACCACAATTTTCCTTGACGGATGATAATCAAAGGTCAAAATGACATTCCCCGCAAATTTTGATGTATAATTAGTGGAAAAGTTAAAAGTTTGATAACTTTCTCTACTAATTGAAAATGTCTACCACTAATTTTGACGTTATGAATGCTTGAAATTACAGGAACAAACTTCTACGCTAACTGAAACCACTAATTTATTCCACTAATTGCGATGTTCTGAATAAACTTGACAGAGTATTTAAAATAATAAAAAAAAAATTAATTAACAACACAAAGAACAAAGAAAGAAAACTAATTAAAATATCTAAATACAAATATTTTTTAAAAACACTTTAGTTTTTAGCTGATACCAAAGGCTGATACGTCTATTATAAACCTTTGACGTTCTGTTAAAATTAAAATGACATTATATGAAGTCAAATTTTGAAAAAAAAACGAGGTAAAACCAAAAAATATGATTATTTTTAGATTGTTTTTAATTTTTACTTATGTTATGTTTAATAAAATCAAAGAAGTGATAACCTCTCTTATTTTTTCTTGAGATGCTATCGGTTCTTTCATCGTAATTTTTGCGTTGCTAAAATCCAGTGGCGGACTAAACCTGTCGGGGGCCCGAGGCGGCGAAGCTAAATGTGGCCCCCGGTCTGTTTAGATAATGATATACTTCTAATGCGCAATTTGTAAAAAATTAATGACGTATGTATAATGGTTGACAAAATTCAAGTATTTATACAGGTTGTCCCAGGCTGAGCCTGCATTAGAAGTTTCTAGAGAACTACAATATCTATATCCGAGATTTTTTGCACATCATTGTTTCACAATGAGATCTATCGATTAAAAATATTTTCAATATGGCGGCACTTCCGGAAGTACCGCAAGTTGACAGCAACTTTCTTATTTTAAATGGGTGCCCCCATTTTTTATTACATACTTAAGTTCTCAGTAAAATTTTATGAATTTTGATATTAAACACTGTATACTTAACGTTAACCGTTTTTGAGAAACGCAGAAAAGCAGCAGTATTTATAATATAGGAAATTCAAATAATTCGTTTTCTGACAGATGGAAATAAATTGTCTGACTGTTTGACACTTAATGTCAAAGAAAGCTAGATAAAATCAAGAAAAATATACGTTTTCAAACTAAATCTTAAATAACTTTAAAACGATTTATTTTAGGTATAGGAATATGTATAGTTAAAACGTAACGAATTGAAAAACCTTTTCACTAGTGAAATAAAAAAGTGGGTTTCCATTTGAAAAAAATTATTTATGATAATTTTTTAATCGCTCAATTACATGACAGCTACAGCCATTATTATATGACATTTGAACAATTTAATTTTTCAATTAGATAGCCACGTCTTTTCTTTATGTCACAGTGGCTGTGATAATCACTAAATTTAACTTAATTTTCACAGGTAGTTTTTTTCGTCCAAAAATTTAAAATATTTTTCTCTAACAATGTTTAACATCAATATTCATAGAATTTTACAGAGAATTTAAGTAGGTATATAATAAAAAATGGGGGCACCCATTTAAAATAAGAAAGTTGCTGTCAACTTCCGATACTTCCGGAAGTGCCGCCATATTGAAAATATTTTTAATCGATAGATCTTGTTGTAAAACAATGATGTGCAAAAACCCTTCGATCTAGATATTGCGGTTCTCTAGAAACTTCTAATGCACGCTCAGCCTGGGACACCCTGTATACTGTAATAATTATAATAAAAATCGATATAGATTTAAATATGTTACCTACTCATCAGCAGTGCCGTCTTGACGTAGGAACCTGATGGGCCCTGGCCCCCGGAGTATTAAGGGCCCCAGTTCTAAAAGGGCCTCAAAAACGTTAACATCAATTTTTTAAAACTTATAATAATATTTTTAAATCGAAAAACGAATGCAATTTGATATAATAAAACAAGCAAGTGCAAAACTAAAGTGTTTTGGTGTATTGTGGTGAATTAGTGTTTTATTTTGCTCTTGTAACACCAAAGGTTCCAACCCTAACTGTAATAAATTAGAGGTATTAAATTATTGAACATAATTTTGCTAACGAGCCATATACTACCATTCATGGTCCATGCAGTATTAGATCGGGAAATCTCCGAGCGAATGTTCGCGTGTATTTAATGGCAACTTATGATGACAAAGTGATGGAAATACCGGTTCCACAAATGAGCCGCGTTACTTTCGCGACCGTTCCAGGAAAATACTGCGACAAAATTTCGCGATTTTGTAAGTCCTCCAAGATCCGAGGGGCCCCTTCGCTGTTTCAGACCCCGTGGCCCCCGTTATACTAAAGACGGCACTGCCCATCATCGGTAAAGAAGCTAGAATACAAGTTATACTGTGCGTTGGTTGTAATTTAAAATGTTTATTCAGTAAAAATAAATAATGAAACCATTGAAAAATAACTTAAAAGCTAAAATAAATAAATTCAGTCTCAAAATATATAAAAAAATAATAATTATTCGATATTTTAAACAAAGAAAATTACCCCTTGATTTAATTCCTAAATAGAAAATGCCATTGACAATTACTGGGGCCTGATAATTGATAATTAAATAAATATCTGCTTCCATTTATACTGTTTATAGTTTGCGTATACGTATGGTTTGCACCTACATACTGCTTCATAACTACTGGACACATATTGGCCTTGTTTGTAAGTTGAATAAAAAATTACTTATTAAGATTCGGAGGCCCCCTAAAAGACGGGGCCCGGGGCGGACCGCCCCTCCCCCCCCCCCTAGTCCGCCACTGCTAAAATCTACTCTGCCCTGTGTCCCATGACTGCTGACAAATCTTAGGTTTTGCGAAAATCGTCCTGCTGAAATAGTCTTTATGGTTTTTTCGAACAATTAACAGTCCAGTTGTTTTTCTGGAAAAGTTTGAGCTATTTCAGACCCTTCTTAATATTTTTTAACGGTTATATACATAATATAAAGAAAGTTAAAAAACTAAAAAACCTACTAGAACTAGAAAGTTTTAAACATAGAAAAGTTTTAAACATTTCTGTATTTATTTATTGAATATTTTTTGGGATTTTTTCCAGTATATTTTCTTTAAGTTCGGGGTTAATATAATTTGCCTTTTTTTAAGTGCGATAAAACAACGAATTACGCGTTGTACAAAGACTTAGCCTGTGTTATTATCACCTTTTATGATTCTAGATAATAATTTATGTACACATTGAACACACATTTGCAAATATTAACAGATCTGTTCAGAATATATGCTCTTAAAATTTATGAGAGGTTATTATCATTTTGTCATGACCAACAATCGCATAAGAATTTATCTGAGTAGGTTTTAAAAATATAATTATATATTTTTTAATAAGTATTTCATTTCTTCTTTTCAGATACCCAAAATACCGGATTTTTTTGAGGAAACTAATAGAAAAAAGTGCGGAAAGTGTGGAAGTGATTTATGTTATATATTTCTACATCAGTTTGACTAAGAACAATTTTTCAAATTAGAATAACAATATAAAATCTGTTGGATGGATAGAAAAGCTATGAACGATGTGGATGGTATACACGTATGGGATGATGGCAAAAATAACGAAAAATATGGCCTGGGATACCAAAATACCTTGGTAAGTGCTTTTAATATTTATTTTTAGTTAACGTAAAGTTTTTTAGTAACGTAAAAAAAGATACGGCCGTTTGTGCCACAAAAAACATATATTTCGACACTCAAGGGAATGAAAATTTATAGGGTATTTTCCGTTGACATAGAATTATGAAATTTGGCAAGTAATACCGTCATGTACTAGAAGTATGGCGAACATTCTGAAAACTATACATTTGTAATTCATCATCATCATGATTTTCAGCTTATTCAACCATTTCCAAATATGGTGTAGTCGTGATGGGCATTACGATTCTTTTTAGTGAATCGAATCACACGATTCAATTTCTCATATTGAATCGACTCCTATGATTCGTTCATTTGAACGAACCGTATGCACAATTTACGTTTCATAAAAACAAGATCGTAACTAAGACTACCGGCGATAATTTGGTAGGACAATTACCTAAGGGACCAGAAAAAGGAATATACAGTTCTTTCTGGATTGATTATTTTACCAATAACATTAAATTATCAATCCAATTTATATATACTATGTATTAAAGACTTCTTAAAACCTATTTGATATTTTTAGAGCCATATTTTAATTCAGATTTAATAATCATAATAAATAGTATATAATACCGCATGATTGAAAAAAAATGGCGTTCAGTTGGCTTGGAAATGAACATGGATGATATTCCCCATATAATTTTACATATAAAATGACAGCGAACTTCATTTTATAACCATCGCTGACGCCGTTTTTTATCACATTGAGCAGAGGCCAACAATATTTTTTGGAGTTGCACAAAAACACGATTTCGTCTTTTGAGTCCGACATTTAATAGTCGGTATTATTATTTTAACAAAAATATTAACGTGAAAATTAAATTACAGATACTCCCGTACTAAGCACAGTATAAATAAGTTTTTTTCTTGTAAATAACTTTCTTATCGTTTGCATTTTATGCCCATGATGTTAATTTAGGGCTTTTGTTTAATTCTAAATATTGGTACCTGTATTTATGCCTATATCACCGCCAGCGCCGCACCGTAGAAACGAACGATCGCATTGTGATCCGATTGAATTCTCATGATTCTTTTTTACGGCTCATCGTTCAGATCTTATAGATCCGTGCTGGCTATAATAGATTAGATAATAGATTTTAATGGAATTAGGGACAATTTTTATTAGGGCGCATATTTATGACCCCACAAAACTGCAATTCTTTCACCATTTAACCGACTCTCTATCTCCAGTACTTTCCAAGATACCCATAGAGAACATCGTAGGAAACTCACCATGTATATCATTATAGTTCGCCTTAGCTTCTTTGTATATTGGCTACATTTGTAATTAAATATTAAAAATGTAGTCTTTATATTTTTAAATAAGTAACTTTCTTGAAATTTCTTCATATTTTCTTCTTTTCTTTGCAATTTCTTGATATTTTTTCACCACTTATATCTTCCTTCTACAAATATTTAAAAACCAAAATTAGCCACATCGGCCCAGCCTTTATCGAGTTTTACTGAGACTTACAAAATATAGATCTTTATTGTGGCATTTTTATTTTATTTATATTTGAGAAGTATATATTATGACAGAAATTTATAAGTTTTACTCGGAAACTTTTAAAGAATTTGATTAATCGTTTAAGAAATTCATGTAGTACACATTAAATATTTTGACTCAGACACCTGTAAGGTATTCATCAAAATTTAAAGTCGCTAACATTTTTCAAATAAAATCGATTACTTAAGCTCATAATTCAATCCCCCCGATAAAAAATACTTTGATAAGAAAATACAACCACGCAAAATAGTAGACTACACATTTTTTAGTGTAATTTGTGCCTCCAAATTAGCCTCAGATGTTCCGTAATTTCATACAAGTGATAAATATGTAATCGAAAGATTAATATATTTAACAGAAATTGATATTTAAAATATAATTCTAACTAGCTTGACAAACAATGTCTTCTTCCGGCCGAAATCAACAATCTCTCACATTCAACTGTTTCCAAAGCCTACTACTCCGCTAGTCGCAAACATCAGCGGACACGGGGTGCAGGCACGGCGTGAAAATGACTGCCTATCATAAGGATCATAGGCGTCGATAACATTCGGCCATTCCTGACTTTTGAGTGTCCTCACTCCTCTGAATCACACTAAAAGGACACTAAATAATCAAAGAACCTTGCCCAAGTAACATTTTTAAATGCTGAAATAAAATATTTATTAGTTTTTTGCTGCTGAGCCATATCTTTATCAGCTAATTGCTACCATTGTTGTAACACTAAAAGGACAAAAAAATAATCAGAATCGTTTAAAGGACATTTTTAAATGCTGAAATAAAAATATATTATGTTAGATTGTTTGCTGCTGATACTAGACAATTGATACAAAACCAACTGACAAAACCTTATCAGCTAATTGTTACCATTATTACAACACACTAAAAGGAGAAACATAATCAGAATCATTTAAAGGACATTTTTAAAAGCTGAAATAAAATATATGTTAGATTGTTTGCTGCTGATACTAGACAATTGATACAAAACCAATTGACTAAACCTTATCAGCTAATTGTTACCATTATTTCAACACACTAAAAGGAGAAACATTATCAGAATCGTTTAAAGGACATTTTTAAATGCTGAAATAAAAAATATTATGTTAGATTGTTTACTGCTCATACTGGAGCTACGTCTTATTTGCTACTTAAATAAATAAAAATAAAATATCGTAACTCACTCAGAAACAATACTCAAAAACTCATGATGGACAAATAAATTATTCAGGGACAAAGACAATTTTAAAGGTAAAATAAACGAATTACTTATTATATATTGGTGTTACGTAATCTGCAGCTTGCGTGCAACAAAATAAAGTTAAATCTCAACTCACAAAATCTTAAATCTAAATTGTAAATTAGAAATCTAACTATGGGCCCCACATACCTATACCAGCCACTGGAAAAGAGAGCAATCCGGGTCGAACTAACCAGACCGAATACCGGGACTCATCCCTATTCGCAGAAGTCTTGTCCGCCCTACTCACACCAGCGTCCAGGTGGTAAACTCATACCTTAGCAACCATCACACGCCTTTTCCAGCTATCATACTAACAGTATACCTTGAAAAAAGTGTACCAGGTAGAACTAACCCTACTCCTTTTTCCAATCCTAATACACGTTTGAATCTACCATAACCAAATCCATAGCTTGCCAAACCTAGCTATACCACAGCACTTGTTCTGCGGGCCTTGCATGCCATTCTAGGATGTTTCTAACTTCATATCATCCAATCCTCAGCTGCTTAGAAATTCAAATGAACATGTCTACCTTGGAGATTGATTGGGTCCTATGGGGTGTGTCGAAGTGATCCTTAGCAGATCTAACGCTGAATATAGTTCGCTACGCATCCAATTTTTCTTTTATTCCGCTTGATATTTCGCATAATTCGCTACTAATTTACGCCGAAAATCGCTAACGCCCACTTTATCATTTACGCCCGGAGGGATAAACTCAACTTGTCCAGATACGCTCATTTTGCTACTAGTGCTTAGTTCCTACGCAATCCATACTGAATGTTTGAAACATTTTCAACCTAGATATCGTCATGCAAGTCGTTACACATACTAGAGATTATGCCTCTCTACTTGTCCCATTCCACGTGGATGTCAAACAGTATTCAGGTAGTGAGATATGGCTAATTTATATTGAAAGTATTCGTTTTTTTAGGTGAAAGGGTATCCCTAAATGATTACTTTATTCGGGGTTGTAAAACTCATATATTAACGTCGCATAAAGATTTAAGTACATACCTAGGTAGCTTAGTTTATGTATTTTGAATTAATATAATATAGTACCGTCTTACTTATTTTTGTTTACGCATAATATGAAAAGTGTATGCATTTTATATAAGATAATCGGATTTGCTAGTTGTATATTACATTATACATTTTTGTTAACAACATTTAAACATGTTTTTACCTACTTTTAATGCTGAAAAATACGTAAATTTACGTTTTAGTGTTTAATGTTTTTTTTTTTTGGTATTATATTTAGGCTTACTGTGTGAACAGACCTAATATAATGTTGCTAATATTTCTATTGCCGAAAGAATATAGTATTTCCGACAATATTTATTTTATGTCGTGCTTTAGTAGTTTGTTTTCAAAATATCTATATACAGCGTGTTGTGAAATCTACTATATAATAGTACTCTGGCGCCTAGAATTTTACCCATCTGGACATTTACATTTATTTCTAATTACAAGAAATTACACTTTTATTAAAAAGTAGCCCTGCATACCTACTTTAATAAACGCATCGTTCTCATCTTCTAACAATTTTACACAACTATTTTAACACTCACAATGTGTCAATATATTACAACACTACTCGAAGGGTTACTTGCTATTAAATATGGCGTATACGAAGAATAAATTTCTTGTTATACTAGTGAAATACCTGAATTAAAGTGAAAAACTCTGAAATATAATGAGGTGGTTAAAATTATATTATAATAATTGAAAAACTAATGTAATACTTATAAATTATGTGAATTTTTGATATAATTCTCAAGTGAATTTGCAAAACCTGAATTTCGGAACCTACTTAACTTTTCTACAACCATGTATTTATTCAACTACATACCTAAATAGGTACAAAACAAAATAACTTTTTTAAAGACTACGTTAAAAACAGCATCTTAAAATTAATTTTCAAATATTAGATCGAAAATGCATACTAGGAGGATTATGAGGTGTCTATAAAAAATTAATATTAGATATGCCTTAATAAACGTTTGATTTCATAAATATCCAACTTTAAATTTTACACATCTACTATTTCTCTCTTGTATTTCTAATCACTAAAGATAATTACCAAGTACATTCATGTAACACCTAGTATATTTCTGATATAGCGATACTAGACTACCTAAAGTTGAAAGTTTCAGTAAATTAAAAATATAGCTGAAATATTAATAACATCTATAACTAAACTTAAAGTAA